GCCACAATCACCTTGGTACCTAAACCTCACAAAGACTCAACAAAGAAAGAGAATTTCAGGCCAATCTCCCTTATGAACATTGATGCAAAAATACTTAACAAAATACTTGCAAACCGGATCCAAGAACACATCAAAGATATTATCCACTATGACCAAGTAGGCTTCATCCCAGGTATGCAGGGGTGGTTCAATATACGGAAATCCATCAATGTGATCCACCATATTAACAAACTGAAAGAAAAAAACCACATGATAATCTCCCTAGATGCTGAAAAAGCATTTGACAAAATCCAACATCCATTCATGTTTAAAGTACTGGAAAGTTCAGGGATACAAGGCACATATCTAAACATAGTAAAGGCGATATACAGCAAGCCTATAGCCAACATCAAACTGAACGGAGAGAAACTTAAAGCAATCCCACTGAAATCAGGGACAAGACAAGGCTGCCCACTGTCTCCATATCTCTTCAACATAGTGCTGGAAGTCCTTGCTAGAGCAATAAGACAGTCGAAGGAGATCAAAGGGATACAGATGGGAAAGGAAGAAGTCAAATTATCACTATTTGCAGATGATATGATAGTATATATGAGTGACCCCAAAAACTCTACCAGGGAACTCCTACAGCTGATAAACACCTTCAGCAAAGTGGCCGGATATAAAATTAACTCAAAAAAATCAGTAGCACTCCTGTATACAAAAGACAAAAGGGCTGAGAAAGAAATTAGAGAAACAACACCCTTCACAATAGCCACAAATGACATAAAGTACCTTGGCGTAACCCTAACCAAGGAAGTCAAAGACTTGTATGAAAAAAATTTCAAGTCTCTGAAGAAAGAATTAGAGGAAGATATGAGAAGATGGAAAGATCTCCCATGCTCATGGCTTGGCAGGATTAACATAGTAAAAATGGCCATCTTTTTATTTTTTTATTGTTTTATTTATTACAATTTATTCACTTTTTATCCTAGCTCTGCCCCCCCCAGACCCTCCCAATCCAGCCCTCCCTCCCTCTTCTCCTCCCATTACCATCCCCCAGTCCACTGATAGGGGAGGCCCTCCTACCCTTTCATCTGACCCAAGCCTGTCAGGTGTCAGCAAGACTGGCTGCATTATCTTCCTCTGTGGCCTGGTAAGGCTGCTTCCCCCTCAGGGGAGGTGATCAGAGAGACAGCCACTGAATTCATGTCAGAGACAGCTCCTGTTCCCATTACTAGGGAACCCACTTGGACACTGAACTGCCATGGGCTACATCTGTACAGAGGTTCTAGGTTATCTCCATGCATGGTCCTTGGTTGGAGTATCAGTCTCAGAAAAGACCCCATTGGCCCAGATTCTTTGGATCTGTTGCTCTCCTTGTGGGGCTCCTAACCCCTCCAGGTCTTTCTATAAAGAATCCCTTCAATAAGATATTTTATACAAAGCATACAGAAGACATAAGTGATATGTAGAATTTTTTGTGTATAATATATATGAACTAGATGTTTTAATATTTAATTTCCATAAATACATATATTTAACCTAAGTTGCTACAACTTGGTTCAGTTAGTGGTATATGGGTGAGGAAATGCTAAGTTTTCATTGAGAAAAAACATCCAAGAAAATTTAGATTGATTCTATACTGAACAGGGATAAATTTTATGTTTCTAATTCTTTGGTGCTTGAGGTTAAAAAAAATATTCTTAATTTTAGATCAGGGAAAAGTAATTAGTAATATATACATGACCTCATGGAGACATGGAGACACATTCAATTAACTCATCTTAAAATTTATTAAGCACCTTCTCTTTGAGCAATTCTGCTTTATTTAGGCACTGAGAAACATCAATAAACAAGCCACGTATATTTGAGAAACCGGCAGGCAGTAAAAGCAAAGAAAGAGAATGAGTGAGAAAAGGAATCAGAGAAAAATGGAGGCCACACCAAGTACCATCATGGAGATAATAAAATGGGGATTCTTCCTACTTGTAGTGGAAGTCAGAATTCCTTCCTCAGCAGGGTAGTGATATTATTCCCTCCATATTTCTTAAGGATTAGGCTCCATTATTATATTTGTCAGGGTTACTTGGCTGCAGTGAAATACTGTGACCAAAGCAAGTTGGGGAGGAAAGAGTTTTGTTTTGTTTTGTTTTGTTTTGTTTTGTTTTGTTTTGTTTTAGCTTATGCTTCCACAGCACAGTTCATCATCAAAAGAATTCAGGACAGGAACTCAACAGGCCAGGAATCTGGAAGCAGGAGCCGATGCAGAGGCCATGAAGGGGTGCTACTTACTGGCTTGCTCATCATAGCTTGCTCAGCCTGTCTTCCTATAGAACACGAGACCACCAGCCCAGGGATGGCCCCTCCCACAGTGGGCTCATTCCTCCACTCATCAGTCACTAATTAAGAAAATACCCTACATCTGGATCTCATGGGCCATTTTCTCAGATGAGGCTCCCTCCTTCCAGATGACTCTAGCTTGTGTCAGGTTGACATAAAACTCTCCAGGACCGTCACAATAATGAAAAGAGATGGTAAGGGTGCAAGGTTAGAAACAGAAATATGTTGGGAAGGGAGTCAGAAGACAGTTGGCAGAATTCATTGCTGAATGTCAGCAGAGAGAGAAATGGGATTCTGCGCATGCTTTGAAACCAACACATCATGAGAGATTGGTAGTGGTGCTGGAGAAGATGAAAACAAAGGATGATTCAAATATACGAGTCCAAAAGTCTGAGCAATGAGGAGGATAAAAGAGCCATCGGTGAAAATGGGGATGGCTGCAGGTGACAAGGATGAGCAATGCCAATCCCCTGGCCTCTCCGACTGCACCTGCAGACATTAGAGATCAACTAGGTATCGAAACAGGAATTGGAACAAGTTCAGTGTTACTAGAAATTTGATATAAAATCAGGGTTTGAGACGCTGGAAATTATCAGTATGTGAGTGGCTGTTAAAGCTGTGGTACTAGATATGATCCTCAAAGGTCTGGATGCAGAGAGAGAACAAAGACTGAGCCCCTCACAAGTCTATACAAAGACATTGATGTTAAGGGGGAAGCAAAACAAAAGATGGAGAAGGAGCAACCAGAATGTTAGCTGGGAAGCTACCAAAGTGATATCCCCATGAAGACACTCAAACTCAATACAGCACGGCCCCGCATGTCAAGGATAGGGAGCGGTGAAGTTGGCCATTGGACTCAGCTAGGGAGACTCTAGGAAAGCATTAGCCTTTATCTCCCTGTGTCCTCTGATGGCTTTAGTCTCTGATCACGTTACCTAAAAGGCCCACTATGTTGTCAAGATGCCAACAACGTTTGGGGTTCTTTGTTCTTTAGTACAATGCAGAGGAGCAGGTACCGTGGTGTCTTCTAAGATCTTATAAAATAATTGTTCTGGTTTTATGTTGTATGAGGTTTATGGTTAAGTGTCTACATTTTAAATTACAGTATGCAAAATCTAATTTGATTTTGCTAAAAGGTAGAAATTTAAAATCACCATTAGATAAGAGTTTCCCTTGGTGGGACAAGTGTTGAAATTCTGTGTATTTTATGTAGGCGGTTGAAATATATTAATACTCGGGAAACGTCTGTTTATTTAGCTGGAAGATTCTGGAACCTACACATGTGTTGCCAACAATGCTGCTGGTGAAGACACACATACTGTGACCCTGACTGTGCACGCCCTTCCCACCTTCACTGAGCTGCCTGGGGACCTGTCATTGAATAAAGGAGAGCAGCTACGGTTAAGTTGCAAAGCCACTGGCATCCCGTTGCCCAAACTAACATGGACCTTCAACAACAATATTATTCCAGGTTGGTGATCTACTTCTTCAGAGATGAATGCATGTATACATTCAGCAGACTGGCTGGGTCTCTATATCCTCTTGGGAGGCCATTGAGGAATTACAATTACAGAGTTGACTCTATTCTGTGAAATGGCTGGGAGTGATAGAACACCCGCAATCCCCAGACTTGAGAGATGGTTGCAGGAAAAGTTGGGAGTTCAGGGTCATCTTCAACTACGTAGTGAACTAGAGGCTAGCCTCTGCTACTGGAGATGTTATCACTAAATAAATATAGCCAGGAAATAAATTCTATGAAATGATATACTTTACCCCAGCACAGACTCATTGACCATTCTTTTGAAAGGATAAGTGGATAACAAGACAATAAATTCTATGTTATAAGTAAAACTTTGACAACAAACCCACTCCCTGAAAGGAGGCAGTATTATATCTTGGGCATCTTACTTCTGATGGACTCTCTGCTTTGCTGACCAGTGAGTTCAGGGGCTGCGGCCGGAGACATGCAGAACTCATCTTACAGAACACAGTGCTTCTCACTGGGTGGATGAACCTCAGAACTGAAGAGGTCAATGGACACATCAGGTTTCTAGCCAGATTTCTAGTGTATTGTGTTAAAATAGTGCCTAACCCCTGAGCACGCATCCCTGGAGGACACATGTCTATTTATGTGTGCGTGCATGTGTGTGTATGTGTGTGTGTGTGTGTGTGTATGTGTGTGTGTGTCTGTGTGAGTATTATTTTTGAGGCTGTAATATAATTATATCCTTCCTTCCCTCCCTTTCCTCCCACCAAATACTTTCCTATTCCCCTTTTTGTTCTTTTTCAAACTCATGGCTTTCTTTTAAATGTCGCTACATGCAAATATGTGTATATATACACTTGTTTAATTTCATCTCCAAAAATGCTATCAATAATGAGTATGAAAACACTGTCAGCAATGAGTGCTCATCCTGTCCTGACTTTTAACTTGCATCTACCAAATGCCTTGCTAGAATAGTGGTAGTAGCTTGAAATTTTTGAATTCTGGCATTTAAACCTTTAAGCTTAATTTTCCACCTAATGTAGTTGAATGAGTTCTTTAAAAATAAGTGAGAGAACGCTTACAAAGTAGCCATACATAATTCAGGGCAGCCATTTAAGTTACATTCCTATTTAGTATCCAACTCCTATTTAGTACTGGTTGTTTTAAAATTAGGATGCTCATATTATATTCTCACTCAAATATTATAACTGCCTTTGTAAATATTTACATTCTCATCATGTATGATTTATGGGCAAGCTTAAGTTATTATAGATTTGATCATTATGTTGTTTTTACCTACCAGGGAAGTATTTTCATGATTTCCCTACAACCTGCCAAGTCAGTTGGATTCCACCTGAAAAGGTGTTCCCACCATTGATGTAAATTGTTTAGGAAGAAAACCGGTGGTGAGATAAATGGAATGGAAAATGCCATATTTCTCAGTGAAAGGTTTTTGAAAGCCAGAGCAATCATGAGCCTGGTTTAAGCAACAGGCTGAGATGAAAGGGACACTTTAAAATACTTTTGAGAGATGTTTGTTTTCTTTCACTCTTCCTGTTCTGTGGGCTGTTTTTGGTTCTCCAAATGATGTCTATAGACACAGTAAATAGCTCAAGGGGAGCTCTGTGGTAAGGGCTCTCTTGTTCAGTTACGGTTCAGTTGCTGACTTGCTCATAAATCTAACCTGCAAAATATGACACTGCCGTGACATTTTCCTAGGTCACTGAGAGGCATCTGTGTTGTTTCCTAATCTGTTTCCTCAGCTCACTTTGACAGCGTCAATGGACACAGTGAACTTGTTATTGAAAAGGTTTCAAAGGAGGACTCAGGCACTTACGTGTGCACAGCGGAGAACAGCGTTGGCTTTGTAAAAGCCATTGGATTTGTTTATGTGAAAGGTAGGTAAAGGTGTTCCATCTTCCCTTTGTGATTTATTCATAATGAAAGTTTGTTTCCTTTCATTATGAAGGAATACAACATGACTGCAATCTATTATTTTAGTGTCACAAACATGTATAGGTTCATGAGAAAAAAAAAACAGGAGTTTCAAATGAAAGGTAGAAAAGGGCTGTGGAGGTGGCTCTGTGGATGGAGTGCCTGCCCTTTAAGCATTAGGATGTGAGTTTGGATGCCCAAAATGCACATAAAACCTAAGATGTGTCAGTCACCTACAAGCCCAGCACTCAAGAGACAGCCGAGGCAAGCTGGCTAGACAGAGTATCTAGAATTGGTGGGTTCCAGTCCAAAAAGAGACTTGCATCAATACATAAATTGGTGAGTGACTAAGGAAGAGACATAATGTCAACTTTAGGCCTATACTCGCACACATATACACAAGAGCATCTATATACATGTATGTTCCAGTATACACACATGCACAACACACACACAGAGTAAGGAAAAGGTAAATAAAGAGATTATTTGACATGAAGTGGTATCATCCCCATACAGGGACTGAAATTGGCAACATTACTCGGGATTGTTAAAAGTGATGGTTCTGGAAAACTCATGACACTTTAAAGTGGGGTTTCCGTCATTGCTAAGTTATACGCCTACGTTTGTCAAAAGTCACACTGAGAGTATCAGCACCTGCTTTTCCTTCCCGCCTGCCTTATGGTATTTCCCAGAGCCTCCAGTCTTCAAAGGTGATTACCCCTCCAACTGGATTGAACCGCTTGGTGGTAATGCAATCCTAAACTGCGAGGTGAGAGGAGACCCTGCCCCAACTATCCAGTGGAGCCGCAAGGGGGCTGGCATAGAGATTAGTCACAGGATCCGACAGCTGGGCAACGGCTCCTTGGCCATCTACGGAACCGTGGTAAGTCTCACTGGAGGTGTTGACACCATCTACACTTCCATGCCCTGGCTCAGTGCCCTTCGTAGATGAGAAAAATTCCTTCTACAGTCTTATGCAAACCATGAAGCCTAAGCTAGTGTATTCCTTCTTTAAACTTTTAATTAGGTTTTTTTTTGTGTTGTTTGTTTGTTTGTTTGTTTGTTTGTTTGTTTGAGGCAGGATTCCTCTGTGTAGCCTTAGCTGTCCTGGACTCCCTTACCAGAACAGGTAACACACAGTGAGCTGCCTGCCTCTGCCTCCCTGCATTCTTGGATTAAAGGTGTGTGCCACCACACCCAGCTTTTTAACTGAACATTTTTAAAATACATGTTTTAATACATAAACATAAAATTGTGTCTATTAATAATATAGCACGAGGCATTTCAGTCTGTGTACACTGTGTAATGTTTTAACCAAATTAGTTCATTGGATGTTATGATAGAGGTCTTTAAAACCCTTTCTCTAGATTTCTGTTTTTATTTGCATTTGCCTTACTATGCAATAAAACACCAGAATCTTTCACATTTACTAACCATAGCTAAGTACACATTCATCCTGGTTTTTTCATCACTCCCTCCTCCTCCCGCCTCTCAGTCTCTGGTAACCACCATTCTTATTGTCACCTTTGTATAGTCCACCTGTGAGCATAGTCACACAGTACCTCTTTGTACCTGACATATGTCACTTATCATAATGGTTTCCATCCTGTCTTGTCACAACTAACAGGATTCCATCCTTTATTGTGGGTGATGTATTCCACTGTATGTATGTATTCCATTGTATGTATGTATGTGTGTGTGTATGTATGTGTGTGTATGTGTGTATTGTGCATGTAGTATTTCATTGTATAGGATACATTTCATCAGCAAACTAATAAATATATAAGGCTTTGATCATGTTTCATTGCTCAGGAAAGGAGCATAAAGAGATGAGTCATCTAAATATTTCTTACCTAAAGTACAGATTTTTAACTCACATTTGGTGAGTCCACTTATATGATTTCACACTTAATTAACTTAAATAACCATTAAAATACATCATTGCCTAATCCAGTGAAACTACCTTGGGCTTTACTTTCCTTATTTTTAAATGTTAGCTATCGTTGGCCAATTCTTCAGATTTGAGATATTTTTTCTAGTTTTAATCGATGTCCTATTAAATCTCAGTTTCTTCATTTATCCCTTTTCCTTATATACAACTATTAATATTTCTCAAACTTTTGAGACTTATTTGAATGCCACTGTTAATGTTACAAATATTATTATAACTAAGTCTTTTAGTTACACAATTCCATAATCCTAAATACGCACGTAGTATCAGCCTGGAGACTTCCAAGCCCCATTTCTAGCCACCTACTAGAAACTTCTATATGCTTAATATATTGATACTTCAAGCTAAGCACATATAGGCATTGTAAGTAAAATTCATATAGTACATGTTTTCTGTTCTTATAGGTATAAATTAATGAAAATCTGTAATTTACTATCATAAGTAAATTTATTTTTCATTTTCCTTCATTTAAAACTTTCTACAAACCTGAATTGATGCATTTTCAAAAACTCCCATTAAAAAGAGCTCAGTATTTGTTTTGAGAATATGGTTCATTTCTTCTGGCTAGTTTAATGGATTTTAAGATAGCCATGATCATAGCATTTCCCTTTGTTATAATATTAAAGAGATGGTTATAAAATGATGGTATTTTTTGCTTTGATTTCCTGGGACTCATATGAATTTTTTTTAATTTTGAAAGGTTTTTTGTTGTTGTTGTTGTTCCCCTCATTTCTCCTCTTTCTTTCCTTTTTTAGCCTAGCTGTAAACATAGACACAGGTGGGGTTCTCCATTTCCATTAAAACGCCTTCCCCAAACTTCAATTCCAAATGAACTATGTCATTGAAAGAGTCCCCTGTTCTCACAAGCACACTTACTTCCATAGAATGAAGACGCTGGCGACTATACGTGCGTAGCTGCCAATGAGGCCGGGGTGGTGGAGCGCAGCATGAGCCTGACTCTGCAGAGTAAGCTGTTTCCTCCATCTTTAGCTAACGCAACAGCAGGAACGTTGCCTGACGGAGAATGAGCATTTCCTTTACACCTGCAGTGTGTGCTAGAACCATAGCTTTCATGGTGTGTCTAGTTTCCTTTCGCAGGGATGAGGGAGCAATGGTCATAAAATGTGACACCAATGTACTGTGGATTTCTGTCCCCCTCCTATCTGACGCCTGCATTTTACAGTCACATGTCTTGGTGGCAGTACCTCTTTTGACAACAGTGGGTGCCCTCTGTGGTTCACCAGACTCTTGCCACACACTCACGAAGATGTTATCTTATACGCTTTAAAAATATGTGCTAAATATACTGTGTGAGAAAAAAATCTTTTTTTTTTTTTTAAGGAAAAATCTGTTTTAAAAATAGAGAGTAATTTGAAGGAGCTCAGAAGGCTTCCAAGTGGATTGGCAGCCCTCTTCTATGAAATAACTGTGTATTCTGAGTGGGAGCCTTTGCTCTTCATGGAGTCCCTTAGTGAAAGCCATCAGCAAGCAGAGCTTCCAAAATTAGAGAAACACCACAGCCTCTGCTAACCTTGGTCAAGGAAAACGTCATCAAATCAGCTAACATACAAATCTTGTATATATTACAGCAAAATGCGTTTGCTTTCATTTTTGTTTTATGCCTTAGATAGTAAAGCACACTTTCCTATCTATAAAGTAGGCCCCCACCATCAGAAGTATGCAATGCTCTTTCTCCTGTCACTGTGCAAGCCAGCCACCTTCCAGTCAAGCCTCGCCATCCTTGTGTGGCTACCCCATGGTTCTCCTTTTCCTCAATGTCCCTGCTGCCCTGTGCTCGCTTGTTCAGTAGCAATGTCATCTGAGATTCTTTGGGGAAAGGAAAGAACAGCTTTAACAAGCATTAAAAGCCTTGTGAACTACCACCTTCTGGGTCAGGCGCACTTTCTACTCTTAAAAACACCAAGTCTACCTCCATGCTGTATCTCCCACCAGATGGAGGTATCTCCTCCCTGAGGAAATGGTCCTCAGCTTTGAAAACACAGTCTGAGAGCTTTCTCCCTAAGGCAGCTTTTCCTGAACCAACTTTACAAACATGTGGAATGATATAGAGAGAGGCATCCTGCTAGCACCTGCTTTCACATCTGGTCCTTTCCCGGAACTTCACTTGCGTTGCTGTTCTTGTCCAGATGCTGACAGTCTTTCCCTTCTCCTGAAACTTGTTCTTTTTACTGCCAGGATTCCTGCTTCTTATTTAATTCCTCAGTAGTCAATCCTCATATGCTTTCTGTGTTTCATCATGTTTTTACCACATTACTTTCTCTTTTGAAGCAATCTCATCCAATTATCCAAACAGATCCACATTCCTTGTGGACATCTTGATTTTGAGATTCCTGTGTGGATATATCTGAATCTACCTGCCATCTAGGCCTGTTCATGTGAGTGTCTCACAGATACCTCAAGATCAATGTCCTAAAAAAAAAGAAATACAGATCACCACACACTCCTCACTGCCTCCCATCAGATCTCTTCTTTCTTTTCTATGTTAGCCAACTACCCAAACAAAAACCTTATTGCCCAACTCAAAACCCCACAATGATCGGTTCTTCCCTTTAATCCATATTACTCAATGGAAAAATTCCTTTCAGAATAAAGTCGCCACATCTTAAAAGCTAAAGTATTAATATGGCCTTTATCAACTAAGAACCAATATCTACTTTCCTCATAGGTCCCCCCATTATCACTCTTGAGCCAGTGGAAACTATTGTGGATGCTGGTGACAGAGTCGTATTGGACTGTCAAGCAACTGGTGAACCTCAGCCAACCATCACATGGTCCCGCCAAGGACACTCCATCTCCTGGGACAACCGACTTAGCATGCTGTCTAACGGCTCATTATACATCGCGGCTGCTTGCAAGGAAGACACCTCTGAATATGAATGTGTTGCCCGAAACTTGATGGGCTCTGTCCTTGTCAGAGTGCCCGTCATCGTCCAGGGTAAGGGGGCAGCAGAATAGAACCCATGACAGCTCAGAGTTCCAGTTTCCTTCCGATGAACCAACTAATGAAATTAAAACAACACAGTTTAGGGTTTTCAAATGCGATGCTAACCATTCATAATCCTCAAGTAAATTTTCATTCAAAATGAAGCAAAATTTTTCAGAAAGTGAGGTAGATGATATCCATCATGCATATGTATATATAGAGAGCGAGAGAAAGAGAGATAGAAAGGGTATATAACCTTCTTCATCTCTTACTCTTCCCATAGCCATGACCACATTAATCAGCAGAGGATCTTAGATGGAATTTCGTTGACTGACTTACTTCTCACTTTTAGATATCAGTTCTACCCTTAAAGGAAAGTTTCCATAGCTATTTCTCAACAGTCACACTCAACTCCACACTCATTACATAATGATTAAAAAAAATGGATCTAGAATTTTTCACTTGCAAACCTGAGACAATCTGCAATATTTTATTTGCAGTGCATGGTGGGTTTTCGTTGTGGTCACCCTGGAGGTCGTGCAGTGTCACCTGTGGAAGAGGCATCCAAAAGAGGAGCCGACTGTGCAACAACCCACTTCCAGCCAATGGTGGTAGACCATGCCAGGGGTCAGATTCAGAAACACGACACTGTCAGAATAAGCTGTGTCCAGGTAACTTCTGCACTCAGTGCAGAGACAGGTGTTTAGATACTCATTTGCATTCCCTACGCTTGGCCTGCCTCGGGGATTGCTGTTTGAGTTTACCTGGTGGCGAAATGGTTTTACCTCCCTGCAGTGGACGGCCACTGGTCAGAATGGAGCTTCTGGGAAGAATGCACAAGGAGCTGTGGGCATGGCAACCAAACCAGGACCAGAACTTGCAGTAACCCGTCGGCTCAGCACGGTGGGCGGCCATGTGTGGGACAGGCTGTGGAAATCATCATGTGTAACAATAGGCCTTGCCCAGGTGAGGTACCGGCAGAACTTCTGCACTTTCATTTCTGTCACGGCGTTAAGAGCCTTTCTTATTTCATTGTGAAAAGTTGTTACGGCTTCTGTCTACTGGAACAGGTTCACTCTCTGTGCTCTTTTCCTGGTTCAGGAAGAACCTGGTGAAGGAATGGCAGTGTTGCAGTGACACATCTTACTTAGCCGAATAGGAAGGTAGTTGTCTGCACTTGGTGTGTTTTGAATTGTGCACCGAAACTTAAGCATATAAGAACTCATAGGTTTGAAAGATGACGGGACTTTAGGTGACATATAATCTAGTCATCCATTTTCAAGTGAAGAAATGAGCTGAGAGGGGTTAAATATTTGCCAAGAAGTGTGCTTCTGGCCAGGAGCATGCTAGCAGCTTATCCTTTACCATCTTACTCATCTGCCATGAGCCCGAGGCCAGATGCTCCGTAGGCCTGTTGTTGCTGATGTTGTATCCTGTGCCTCTTTCAGAGTCAAGCAGCAGGATCGAACTTAAATAAACAGAAAAATATTCTTCCACGTATAATTAAATGCAAGCATTTGCCCAATGTTTCTACTACTGTGTTTCCATTTCTGGTCTCTACTAATATTCTCTTTGGCTTAATTCTCTGTCACATTCTTCCCACGTGTGGAAAAAACGGACCACAGGCAACTAATGGCTTACAGTGGCCTTGTAATCTCGGACTTAGAGGGGGAAATTTTCTCTCTCTGAGATTCATTTCTGCTTCTGAGAAATAATTATGTTTGGGTTTAATTTTGTCGTGTTTTTATCTTAACTGAACTAAATCTAGGAGATAGATTTAGTGGTGGCAGCTTGAGTGACATGTATGTAGTCAAGGGATCCTGGGCTACTTGTTAGGCCTCTTAGGGAAGACCATGTAGAAGAGAGAAAGGACTAGTCAGGAATTACTTCATTCATTCATTCATTCATTCATTCATTCATTCGCCTAGACTCTAGACAATATTTATTATGTGCTCTGATTCAAAGATATTTGAATTTCTAAACACTTCATATGAAATGTTTTATTGATATAAATAGAATATTAAGAAGAGAGTCATTTTTAATATTGATGAAGACTCTGAACAAACTCAAAAGAGAGCACCAATGGACCAAAACTGGAAGAGAATAGTGAAAAATAAGGGTCACTCAAAAAGAGTGATTGTGTCTTGTTACGAACATGAAAAAAGTTAGAAAATAACAGAATTTATTAACTAATTCATTGGCTGAGTCTGCATAGTTAGTAAATGGGAATTGAAGATTTGAACACAGGCTGGCATGATTCCCAAGCCTATAAGCTTGGATCTGGGTACCTTACTATAAGTTTGGTTTTATTTCTATTGTATTTCAAAAACAAAGTTCTGATCTGTGTGGTGGTACAAGCCTATATTCTTCCCAAACAACAGAGAGACAACCTAAAACCCATTGCACTCAAGTCTTTAATGTGAGCAAAAAGCTAAGGTTTGCTTTGGTTTCAAAAAGTAAGCAATCTGAAGTGGTGGCATCATTCTAAAGCAAAAAGAAATATAAATACCTAATTAGAGAATTTGTGTACCATGTCTAAGTAGAGAATTTGTGTGCCATGTGTACCATTTGTCAGCTTAGGAAATTATGTAATGAAAATCTGACAGGTGTTTGCAACTGTGTTAAAATAAATGTCACCTTTTCCCACATACTCTTGGTAACTGTTTAGTATTGTTTTGCTCATTGTCTTGTTTATTTACTATTTGGGGTTTAGTAATGCCTCCCCAGGGTATAGATGCCAACCATGGAGTCAGTAGGATACAACAAAAACTAGCAGGTCCTACTCTTTTCCCCGATAGTCTGTATGTGCAGAGATGCTTTACAACCAGAAAACCATCTGCCAGTCTCTCACCCACTAGCACTAGAATTCATTTGGGTATTTCTTGCATTAATACTCAAATGCTCCTTGTTAAATACGGATTTTTTTTCCTATGGTGTCTTATACAGTTCTTATTACTTCCTATTGCAAAGAACTTTTTGTTTGATAATTTTTATTGAGTTAGATCAATAAGGACTCATACTATTCAATAGTGTAATGACTCAAATATAATTCAGGGGGGGTATAATACACTACTAATTTCCCTTTGTTATGCTCAGCATGTCCTGGATTTGGTTTTGGAAGCTTCAGTGAATCCTGGGTATTGAAGCTTAATACACAGAAACCAAGCCGCTTGCCTGGGGTTACACAGTCCCACCAACCCAGGTCTCTCTACTAGCACAGACCAGAACTTCCACCTATTACATCAAATACACTTACTGTTTTCTCAATTCTTGTTTGGCAATTCTTTTCTATTTGTGTTTCCTTTGTGGATTGGTTTGGATGTTTGGGAGGTTTTCAGTATCATCCAAACACTATGATCGTGAATGCTTTCTCTGGTTTACATTAAGCTAGTTTCTCTCTCTTTCTCTCTCTCTCTCTCCCTGCCTCTTTCTGTCTCTCCCTCTCTCCTTCCCTCCCTCTCTTTATTTATCTCTCTATATAAAAAGTTTTCAATTCTACTGTATCTTATGTCATGAAAGTCAAAGTCAACCTTGTTTAGAGTTTCTTTGTGAATTAAATATTTTAAAAAGTCAAAACGTTTTCAAAGGGGGTTTCAAACCTCTATTTGTATAGAGTAGAAACAAGTCATTGCATAAATAAGCACCACTCAGGTCTAGCCTCCATTGATAATCCATCCTTATGTCATTGGAGGTTTGGACTTTGGTTAACTAACACTCTTGAAATGATACTTATTAAAGTCACTGCAGAATGTCTGAAGTGATACAGTCAGTATGTGAGAGCTGTGAGCATTACAGTCTCAGCCTAGTTTTAAAAGCTCCCTCCTAAATTCTCATGTTTGTCCAGTATTGTCTTAGAACAAATTCTTGTTGGGTACAATAGGTTCATGTGATTTGTTTGCCACTGTCTACAAAACAGAATAGTCACCCTAATCAAATATCAATAAATTATGAGAAGATGCAAGATATTTTAATTTTTTCTTTAAGAAAAATGATAATCTAATTGGTTGATTTTAATATTGCAGTTTCTTTTGTATTTTTATTTTTTATATTAATTACAGTTTATTCACTTTGTATTCCAGCTGTAGCTCCCTCCCTCTCTCATTTCCTCCTATGCCCATCTCCAAGTCCACGGATAGGGGAGGTCTTACTCCCCTTCCATCTGACCCCAGCTTATCCGGTCTCATCCGAACTGGCTAATATTGCAGTTTCTTATAAGTAGTGTTGAGAAAACTTAGTCTAAGTCTTAACCCCTCTTTTGATTCATATCTTGGTAAAGCTCGTGACCAAAGAAACACCATATCTAGAAACTTCTTTAAGGAAAATCTGACCAGATACTGATTCTTACATAAGAGAACCCGCAGCGCTGATTCTCAGCCCACGCACCTGGTAGGAAGTACGGGGCTGTTCCAGGCTTGTGGTCAGATGCTGTAATGTGTTAGTTACCAAAAGGAAGTCCTTAATTGCACTCCTTGGAAACTACTGGTCAGCTTTGCTTCTGTTGTTTAGCAAGTAGGTGAGTGTGTTATTCAGAATTTCTAAATCATGAACATTATGTAATGGAGAAAACTGTTCAAAGACTTAGACCTGTGCAAATCACCCTGTTGTCGAAAGATCCAAGAACATGTGTGAGTGGGAAGCCAGAGCACATTTAGAGATGCACTCTTGCAGTGTTGGGTCCAAAACAGCATTGTTGAAAATTTCCTGTTAGCCACAGCACATGTAGATCTATTAGACAGACTTGCTTAGCTGCTTCTGTTCTTCTCTGCTATCCCTGGAGTACCAAATGTGGACAAGAGCTTAGCTAGAGCTTAAACACTGGGGTTCTGTTTACATATGGTTGCTTGATTAAATTTGATTTTAATAAAATAACCTCCTTTGAATAATTGTAAGCATTTATTTTGGCATTAGTTGGGCCTTCTGAATGTCCCTGGACACAAATCCCTCTGAAAGCCAAACATGAGAAAAGAAGAACGTTGTTAGTTATATTTCTTTTGGTTCAATTTTAGTTATTTTAGACTGTAAGATTTTTAACTCGCTATGGAGATAATTTATTTGCATGATTTTGTTTTTTAAATAAATATGATTTCGTGGCTTGAAACTGTCTCTGGCGTTTGTAGTTCATGGAGTGTGGAGTGCTTGGCAGCCTTGGGGTACGTGCAGCAGAAGTTGTGGGAAAGGCAGTCAGACAAGAACAAGACTTTGCAACAACCCACCACCATCATTTGGGGGAGCCTATTGCAGTGGAGCAGAAACTCAGATGCAAGTCTGCAATGAGAGACACTGTCCAGGTAAGACAAGTAGGGTAGCATTAACACAGTTAACTAATTAGCATCTACCTGTCATCCAACAATGTCATTCACCCTAATCTGGCCACTATTTGACCCAGTCATAGTGTCTGTACCTTTAAAAGCCAGAAGGGGTCAATGTCCTGAAGTTATAGGTAGTTCTGAGCCACTCAGCTTGGGTGCTATAAACCAAACTCAAGTCTTCAAAAGACCACAAACACTTAATTAACATCTGAGCCATCTCCCCAGCCAGCCCCTCTGATTTTTTTTTTAACCTGATGATTTTTTACATAGTAACCAAGCACATACATTTTCTGTTAATGCAGTTGATGGGAAGTGGGCAGCGTGGGCCAGTTGGAGTGCCTGCACTGTATCCTGTGGAGGAGGAGCCAAGAAGAGAACAAGGGACTGTTCTGACCCAGTGCCACAGTATGGAGGAAGCAAATGTGCAGGCAGCGCTATCCAGAGTGATTTTTGCAATAGTGACCCTTGTCCAAGTGAGTTTTGGAAGCAGTGAGTCGATGTTACTTTCTTAAACCTTTGCTATGGCCTCCAGTTCTTACAGTTGTAGTACTTGTTGCTTGTTCTTTGACATTTAATTTAGGCTTCCAAAGCGATGTTTGGTTTTAGTGTGCCTTGAATGTTACAGTCTCAGCTCATCAAGAGTTAAAGGAGATCTCATCATTTTTAGGCTATATTCTCCGTCTCTGTTGAAAGCATCACCCAAGTCACCTACTCTGGAAAGATACCTATTCATTGATTTGCCATCTTTCTGTTTATCTCTTGAAGGGTTTTTCTTGGTGTGGAGATGAATGCCCTGCTTTCTTCTGCTTTTCATTGTTGCAGCACTGTTTTATGTCAAATCATTTCATATTGTAGCCCATGGTAACTGGAGCCCTTGGAGTAGCTGGGGCACTTGCAGCCGGACCTGCAATGGAGGACAGATGCGGAGGCACCGCATGTGTGATAATCCACGTCCCTCCAATGGAGGAAGAGCCTGTGGGGGAGCGGATACTCAGATCCATAGGTGCAACACTGACGTGTGTCCTGGTGAGAGCCTCAATCCCCATCTGTCGCCTGAGCAGACCTTTTCACTTAGTGATTATTGTTGCTGCCCTGTCACTTGCTTATCATGAGTGTCCTAAGTGAAGAGTTTAAAACTGATTCATTAACAGCAAACATTCCATTCTTGCTCACAGTGGATGGAAGTTGGGGGACATGGCATAGTTGGAGCCAGTGTTCTGTCTCTTGCGGAGGTGGTGAAAGGACTCGAAAGAGGCTATGTGACAATCCAGTGCCATCTAAGACTGGCCGTTCCTGTCCAGGTGATGCCACCCAGGTATCCAGGTGCAACATGCAGGCGTGTCCAGGTAAGTAAAGGCTGTGCTTTGGCAAGGCCATTGCTAGCACAAGTTTAGAGTCTTCATACAGATCAGAAAAAGGTACCATTTGGAGCCCACACAGAATGAAACAGTACCATTTCTGGAAAGGAGAGTCATTTTTAGAAATGTGCTTTTCTTCCCTATGACACAGTGTTTATAGCTGGGTTTTGGCCTCCGTTTGTTCTTTTGGGGCTTCCTTCTGTCAGGGGACATATTTCTAAAGATTATAGGGATACCAACATTGACAGTTCCATACTGTTAAAATGGAAAGATACTGTTGGACTTTACAAAGCTTTAAGTTTTCTTTAGAAATAAAATGTCCCTGAAAATTGAGAAGGCACCATTTGACAGGGGGAAGAATGCTTTATGTTGACTGACTTTTACATATAAGTAGACAAACCAAAAGGCCAAGTGAATACTACAAAATTGCTCAGCAAACATGCTCTATGCATAAAAGATCGTGGAGCTTCTTTCTGGAGCAAGAGAACAGTTCTGGCTTAGGATGATGTGCTTTTTTGTCCAGTTAGATGGACAGCTTGAGCCACAAAGTCCAACAACTTTTCAAGGAACCCAACAAGGTAGCCAAATTGAGGAAACATCTGTTCAGTGCTGGAACTCAAGATCTTCAGTTAAAATAGAAGCCACGCTTCTCAGTGGTCATCCAGAAAATTGAATAAGCAATTGTGCCCACCAAGTCCCTCTTCTGCTTAGGGCCAAGAAAAGAGGAACTTCTCATATTTGATCTTTGGTATAAATTTTACAGTGGTGTCAAAATTATAATGTAGTTCTCAAATTTTTCACAAGTTAATTATTGTCTGGTAGGCATCTCCAAAGGAAATAATACATGTGTACATACCTACACACAAGACACATACACACACACACACACACACACACAGATTTTGACTGTACAGTATATCATATTTATGCTGGCAGTGGCCTGCAACAATGATTAGATGGTATTTTGTTGATGAGATCTTTTCCTGTTTTACAGAGGAAAACAATAGCTAAAAGAACACAGGTTTATATTATTAAAAATAATGACCAGTTTTACAGTAGATGTGCTTAACTTTTCTTTTTTCATTAATTTATTTACTTATTCACTTTGCATCTTTATCACAAAACCCTCTCCTCCAAGTTCCTCCTCACACACACCATCCCCTTTCCCCTCCCTGTGTTCTCATTGAAAAGGAGATCCCCACCCCATGGGTACCAACTCATCCTGGCAGATCAAGTTCCAGCACCACTAGGCACATCCCCTCCTACTGAGGCCAGACAAAGCAACCCAGCTAGGGGAAAGGCAGGCAAAGACAGGCAACAGAGTCAGAGACAGACCCTACTCCCATTGTTAGGGGACCCACATGACGACCAAACTGCACATCTGCTACATATGTGTAGAAAGCCTAGGTCCAGCCCATGCATACGCTTTGGTTGGTGGTTCAGTCTCTGTGAGCCCCCATGTGCCAAGGTTAGTTGACTCTGTAAGTCTTCTTGTGGTGTCCTTGACCCCTTCGGTTCCATCAATTCTTCCTCCCACCCTTCCACAAGACTCCCCAAGCTCCACCTAATGTTTTGCTGTGTGCCTATGCATCTGTTTCCATCAGCTGCTGGATGGAGCCTATTAGAAGACAGTTATGCTAGGCTGCTATCTGCCAAGCACAGCAGAGTGCCAGGAGTTGGCTGTCTCCCATGGGATGGGTCTCAAGCTGGACCAGTCATTGATTGTCTAGTCCCTCAATCTTTGCTCTGTCTTTATCCCTGCACATTTTGTAGGCAGGCCAAAATTTGGGTTGAAGGTTTGTGGGTTGGTCCATGTCCCTTCACTAGAAGTCCTGTCTGGCTACAGGAGGTGGCCACTTCAGGCTCCACACCTCTCGCTGCTAGGAGTCTCGGCTAGGGTCACCCCTGTAGATCCCTGGAAGCCTCCTAGGTCTCCAGCTCATTCCAGAGATGGCCCCCACCAATTTACATTCTCTCTCCCAGCCCTCACCCCTCCCCATACCTGAGCCCCCACCATGAGTTCTGCTCCCCATCCCCTTTCCCATCCAGTTCCCTCCATCCATCCACCTCAGATGTCTATTTTCTCTCCCCTTCTGAGTGAGAGTCAAGCATCCTCCCTTGAGTCTGTTTAGCTTTATTCCTTCTCTCTAATTGTGTAGCCTTGACCAGCATGTTCCCAAGCCCCTGCTCTCACCCTTGACCCCATTAACTTCTGTCCTACTATGTCTATTTCCGTGTGTTGTTTTCCTACGATCCCCATAATTGGATGGTATTCTTCAGTGCTCACAGAATAGATTTTAAGTATTGTCATTAGAAAAACAGTAGCTGTATGAGGTGATGAATATGCTAATTAGCTATTTCACCTTTCTCTTAATGTATACATATTTTTAAACAACACATTGTCCACATTAAATATATACAGATATAAGTTATCAATTTAAGTGACTAAATAAGTCCCTACTTTGAAACATTTTAAAGCAATGAAGATGGTGTTTTAGTCTTCTCTGTCTAGACCTGTGATGATGGCAAAGCTACATTATTTTTTCTTAACTTTGTCTTCCCAGTCTGCAAACTGTCTATTTAAAAGCTACCACCTAGTACTGTTGATAGGATCAAAAGAGTTAATGCATATGAAGTGTTTACTGCCACACACAAAAAACTTTCTTTGTAAAGTCACCGTAGCCATGGTTTCATCACTATCAACAAACACATGCTTTATTTGGGCTGTGAGAATGGACATACTGTATTTTTTGGCTTACAGAACAGTTCTAGGATGTGCTCAGATCAGAAGGATACTAGATTTATGGGGATAATGGGTGTTATGTGAAAGTGGAATGTTTTAAAAGCCTATTAATTTCACTTTCAAATTTGGATGCCATAGGACTCTTTTGATGTCTCAGAAAAGATTTGTAGCATCTCTGCACATTGGCTTCCCTTTCCCTCATGTAATGTTGATGGAATTGTTTCCTTATCCAGGAATTTTTTTTTCTTCCCCGAATAGGTGGACCCCAGCGAGCCAGAGGAAGTGTTATTGGGAATATTAATGACATTGAATTTGGAATCGCTTTTCTTAATGCCACAATAACCGAGAGCCCTAACTCTGATACAAGAATAATACAGGCCAAGATTACCAATGTGCCTCGCAGTCTTGGTGAGTCACTTTACCTATCAAAGTTTTGTAATTAATTATCTGCTATTTATTTATGTGTGTGCATTCATGTGTGCACCAGGGGATGTACATGAGGTCAGAGGACAGCCTATGAGAATCAGTTCTCTCCTCCCACAATGTGGACCCCAGAAATTGAACTCCGGTCATCAGGTTTGGCAGCAAGTACCTCAGTCCATTGAGCCAACTCACCAGCCTTTATACACTTTTTTTTAAAAATATACTTCATTTTTTTGTCTTATTATTCTCAGCTAATGATTCTTAAAAAAAATAAATAAAACGTTAAGTCAGTGATAATATGACATACCACATTGGATGTAATGCAATGTTTATCCTTATCCCAACGAGAAAGGAGCTGATCAAAGTGCATTAGAGCATTATGAAAATGATACAGTGAAACTTAGTATTTTGTATATCTAAAAAATGCTAGTAAAAACGATACACACAGACTCATTGACTGTGTAAGTAGTCAACAAGAGCATCCACCCTTGTGAATAATATACTATGACAATAATTGACTGCAAATGTTTTGCTCTGTAACCCTGTTTCTCCTCATTCTTTAGGTCCAGCAATGAGAAAGATTATTTCTATCCTAAATCCCATTTACTGGACAACAGCAAAGGAAATGGGAGAAGCAGTCAATGGTTTTACCCTCACTAATGCAGTCTTCAAAAGAGAGACACAAGTGGAATTTGCAACTGGTTAGTATCAGGTGAACATAATATCCTAATAGATAGATAAATAGATAGATAGATAGATAGATAGATAGATAGATAGATAGATAGATAGATAGAGACAGATGACTGTAAAGCTTGATCACTAAGAAAAATATGGTGCATGCTCCCACAGAAAGTTATTACAAGCTTTTGGTGCATTCTAACACACATAATATAAAAGCAGCTTTAAATTTTCTTGTCAGTGGATACTAGCACAAGGTCTGTAAGGGACCGAGTGTTCTCAAGCAGAATAGTAATTTTTATGCCCCAAAGACTTCTTTCTCTTCCTCTCTGGGCTTTTTTTCATTTTCTGTAAGCTTTGGAGGGGATTTAAAGCACATAGGGAAGAAAGGGAAGTCATTCTTGTTTCCTTAAACATGAATCAATTCATTTACCTTATGGTGATTCTCTGTGTAACAAATGGAAGCAAAGCCAAGCACACTGATGCTTTCCACTCTGCTTTTGTCCTGATGATCATGCCTTAGCTCTTTGGGAGCCCTTCCTGTACTCACAGAAGTTCTTACAAAGCTCCAGTTGAGCCTTCTTGGAGTGACCCAGTCTCAGTGGGCTTGACCTTTGAAGAAGAATGACTAGGGAGGGTTCCCCTTAACCACTGTTTAATCATCACAGAGGATGGGGGAGGAGGGGCTGTTGATATCCATCCTCATATGAAGACACCCTTTAAATACTGCTGATGCTCTGACAGAAACACCGTAGCTAAGTCTGTGGGCATTGACAGCCGCTGGTGGCTGGCTCATCTCACAAGCAGTAATTTTGTAGAAATGCTTGATTATTGCTTGTGAGTCTAAAATATAGAATCTTCTGCAAAATCAAATGCTATACTTTTGCCACATACGAAGAATTTTTGAAAGCAGTTCAGTAAGCCTAACTTTCTTAACTGGAAATCCTGTTCTAACTTGGTTCTCTTACATATTCATTCATATTTGAAATAACACTGTTCTATTAGATCAATCTCCTCTTTGTGCTCCCACAAAGCATATGTGTAATAACAATGATGACTGTTATTATCCTGCCGGGGAAGTGAATGCAATGTCATCCCCAGGAGAGGTCTTGCGAATGACGCATGTGGCTCGGGGATTGGATTCTGACGGCGCCTTGCTGCTTGATGTCGTTGTGAGTGGCTATGTCCTTCAGCTCCAGACACCTGCAGAAGTCAGTGTGAAGGTAACGTGTACAAGAGCTTCATGGCTGCTCATGTGATGAGGAGGAGGACAGACAAAAGCCTTGCAGACAGAGCACAGGGATCTTAAGTTCTTACTGTTCGCTCTGGAGATAAGTCACTACTCCCACAAGGTTGTAAATAACCATCTGGTCTTTGCTTAAAAACCTCCAGGGGCTGTGCTGTTCAAGCTCTCTGAGTGTTTTTATTACTTGGTGTATCAGAGCCAGAATTGCTGCTGTGCTGATTTAAGCCACTTGTTAAATTTTCTTCTGAAAAGGAGAATGGTGATTCCTACCATAAGTTTCTGTGTACCATCATTAAAGAGGGGGAGAACAAAATGGAAAGGGAAATGATGTAATTATATTTTCATTTCAATTTTTTTTACTTGAAAGAAATGAAAAAAAAAAAAAAAACAACTTTGTGAGCTGAGCTCACAGGGTGATGAAAATAGTCCTCATACAACTTGCTGTATTCATGACCTGCAACGTCAGTATCTTGTTAAATTACAAATTGTGACAATAAATTACAAAGTGATTATAATGACAAGGACCAACCTAAGAGTTATTTCTAGAGCCCTACTTTGCAATTACAATTTTACTCTGAATTCCGTGGTTAATCTCTAAGGTCCTTTCTTTTCCTCACGATACACCTCATAGTACACCATGAAGAATGCCAGGTGCCACGTTCACCCTCAAATCCTTTCCCTTAGGATTACACAGAGGATTACATTCAAACAGGACCTGGGCAGCTGTACGCCTACTCAACACGGCTCTTCACCATCGATGGCATCAGTGTCCCCTACACATGGAACCACACCATTTTCTATGATCAGGCCTGGGGGAAAATGCCCTTCTTAGTGGAAACACTTCACGCATCTTCTGTGGAGTCTGACTACAACCAATTGGAAGAGACATTGGGTTTTAAAATCCACGCTTCAATTTCCAAAGGTAATATGAGTACAGAAAAATCCAAGTGTCTGTGCTGCCATCTTGTGTTTTTATTAAAGTATAAAGGCAGGTGCCATGAAACCATTCAGAATGAGAATATGAAGGCCTAGACCTAACATGCTGGAGCTGTCTTTGCCATGTGTGCTGCATTCTTTGTTTTTGTTGGAGGTAAGCCCTATGCAAAGCTTGCTCTGTTGCATTTAGTTTACTAGAATGCCTCTTCATAGTACCTGGCAGGGTTATTTTTCTAGTTCATAGTCTCATATATACAATAAATAATGTGTTTATCGTAATTTTTGAAAATTCTTGAAATATGATGCAAAGTATGGCACAGCTTAAACCAATCAAAATTTTCCAGATTTTTCAAAGCAGCTTTCTTTTAAGTGCTTTATTCTCTTTATTGAGTTTATTGTTGTTGTCACTCAGGAAGGCCCAACTCACATGGATAAAGCAGAAATAAAATGCAGAGAAAATGAGAAAAAAGAAGAATTCATACTGATACATCTTAACAGCCACTTAGAGCATAGTTAGATTAATGTGGCTGTGGCAGAAAATAAAGGGTTTCTGGCAAATAATGTTTATTATTTGCCCTATAATTATAGTGGTGGTATTATCTAACCCACGTTCCTAATCAGTAAAGACACAGACACCTGTTGTATTTTAGAATAGCCTTATATCACCTGGGACTGAACATAATTCCATAATACTTTCTAATACTGGGCCGCTTCCTGCATCCACACTGGATCTGACCACGTTCATCTTTTCCACACTAACCCATGGCTGCCTGCTCCTTCCTCCTTCCTCCAGTACCTCTCTCTTTCCAAGCCTTTGAACTATTTTCACACCCACCCCATTTGCCCTGCCCAGCTGTATTGGCATTTTACTGTTAACCAATCAAAGATAGCTTGGAGGCAAGGATTACAAATGTCATTGTGAGTATGTGAGTGTATGCTCTTAAACAGTAAGAATCTCGGGAGTTGGAGGAGGGGCAAGCAATTAACACTAGACTAGATCTCCCCAGACCCAAAAATTTATCATCCAAACTGAGACTCCTGTGAGAAAACAGGCAGTATTGCAATGAAACTTTTCCAAGGATAATTAGAACATGTAGTCAGCCTGGGTAAAGGTAGCTTTCAAAACCTGTAGAGCAATACAACTATTACTATTAGTAATACTATTATTTCTTATTGACAGAAATCATCATATAATACGTCATTTCTGAACTGGTTTCCATTGTCTAAAGATAGTTCCACACCTCCATCCAAGTGGTCCCCTGTGATGTGTGTTTGTTTGAAGTGTCTGGTCCCCAGTATTCCTTCTCGGAAGTCAAATTGACCGCTGCCACGGTCAATTCTGTGTTCTGTGAAGTTTTGAGGGTGTTTTTCTTTATTTCTTTTTGTAATTCAATTGAGTAGTATACATACATATATAGAGAGAGAGAGAGCGCGCGGGAGAGAGAGGTCTTTTTAACTAGGTAGAATGTTCAGCTTGCTTTACTTTTCACATGAGTTAAACTCAGCTCTCCTCTGCCACAAAACGGCAGGCTACCAACATGGTGACTCCTCCCTCGCTCAGCAGCTCCCACACTGTGTGCACACCTTTCCTCAGCTGTTGTACCGCAGCACCGGGGCTTAGAAGGGTTGACTGCAAAGCTCTTGATCCCAGACTCTGTAGAGGAATAAATCATGTTGCAGCGTCCAAAGGCTGGGTGTTCCTGAAACTGAAATGATTGCTAAGATAGGCATGTATACTTCTGTATGTTAGGCTGAGATGTTAAATGTTAAGCCTAAAGCCATTTGAACACTTCTTATCCTCTCTGAGACTGCTACTAAGCCATCTGGGTCCCAGAATATAGATAAACATTTCTAAATACATTTACGTTCTATTGAAGTCCTTGCATGTGTGATGCTATTGATGTATTTCAATTTGTCTACCTGAAGTTTCTCAGTAGCCACCAGGGGGCAAGCTTGGATTCTTGGTTGTTTAACAAATTTTTATGCTCAAAATCTGTCCTGACAAAATCACAGAAATAGTCCAAGATGACTATTGTAGAGGTTTCACCTAGTGTTTTTATGATAAAGAAATAATAAGACATTCTAGAAGTTGTAAATAAATATGTAAATTATGACACATGTTTAATAACCTCTTAAAGAATCATTGAAATAATTTTCAAGAAATAGCTTTCGCATTCTTTTCACAAACAATTGTCAAGTACCTGTCAAGTACTAGGAGCCATTGTAAGTTTTACTCAAGTGAAAAGGAGCACATTTATGATGTAATAACGATTGACAAGCAGTGCACACTGAGAAAGAGTCCATTTTCTACATCTGGATGATAGTATGGAAATAGTCATACTATTAAAAACAAATTTATTAGTCTTTTCCCCAGCATTTAGTATATCCACAGCGCGTGTTGGGGGGGGGGGACAACTTGCAGAAGTCAGTTTCTCCTCGACTATGTCTGACCCAGTACCAAACCCAAGTCTTCAAGTTTGGCGGCAAGCACCTTTACTGTGTTTGCAGGCCAGAATCTACATTTTAAGTAAGTTCTCCAAATGATTTTTTTAGTCATAAAGCGTGGTAATTATTAGTCATCATTTTCATACCTGACATTTTAAGTATGGATTAATTAAAAAAAAACCAGAAGGAAAAATACCACATGTCGGTAAACTGAAATAGTTTGTCACTACTGATAAAGTAATAGGGAATTTTACTTCAGACTTTCAAATTTTCTACTATTACAATACGTTATTATAATCATAAAGAAATATTGGTATTGTTTTCTCCTATCTTCATCTCCTGATGAAAGTCATAGCTATAATTCAAAATAGTCTACTTTTACTGTGATGTAAAGAATGGGTGGCAGATGAGACAGTGCAGCAGGAACAGCACTTGCCACCAGATGTGGAAAGCAAGAACCAACTTCACTAAGTTGCCCTCTGACCTCCATGTGGCACACAGGCATCCACAACACACACATATGCACACACACACACACACACTAAAAATGAGGCTAGGGAGACAGCTCAGTGAATAGTGTTTTCTGTACAAGCGTAAGTACTGGAGTTTGAATCTCCAGAACCAACATAAATGCTAAGCACAAAGACACATGTCTGTATGCCCAACAGAGAAGAGACAAGAAAATCCTGGAGGCTTCCCGACCAACTGATATAGTAAAAATGGCAAGCATTGGGTTCAGAGAGGGGGGAGGTGGAAGAGAGAAAGAGGCGGGGACCTTATTTAAAAAAAATAAATAAATAAGGAGCCTAGTAGAGGTAGCATCAACATCTCACACTGAGACACAGACAAGTGTACACACACACAGGTGTGGGCAAACACATAAGCACACCATACATATACATGGAAAGAAAAGAATAAATAAATAAATATTTAATTCATAATAAAATATCTTGTTTTAATATGAGAATCTTTGGATACAAAAGAAAACTAGCCATATGCCTAAACTTACCTATAAAATTCTTCTGTGCTTTTAAGAAATTTTTTTTGTTGTTACTTACATTCAAAAAGATGCAAATTTACATGATGGTTGTAAAATCAGGAAAATCTGTTACATATTTAACTCATGTGAAAATGTTATTATGTAATACATATGTTCAAAGCTTCCATAATTGCAGCCTCCTCTTTACATCAAAGTCTTTCAGAGGAAGGAACAAATGGTCAAGACTTTCTTACACATTGCAGAACTGTTGAAACCTGTCACCGGGTCTTCCCCACTCACTGAGCTTGTTAAAAAAATTCCACTAGAAATTGCCTGTAATAGCTCAGGCTGACTCCAAACAGACCGTCATCCTTCCGCACCTCCTCAGGAGCTAGGATTGCAGGCATGTGCCACCACACCCAGCTCCAAGTGCTGAACTTCAGTAGTCCTCTTTATCATGATGGCATATAAGAAATCTTCCCCTGCCAAATTCCCCAAAAGCTACCTAATGAAAGGTATCTCTCCCGGTAAAACCCTAAACTGCAAAGCCCCTATATAACAATGTATTATGTTTCTATGACATGATCTTTTTTTTCATCCCCAACATTACCCTGCTCACACACTGGTTAGTCTGAAGAACGAAGGAATAGACTGAATATGTTATAATAACCAGCTCAGCAGGTGACAGTAAATGAGACTCATCATAAAACCTGCCCACACTAGCTTTTTGCTCTTCAGCAGCTTAATGTTACTCTCAGACTCCTCTTCTGAAAACTAGGCGTCATGACAGCATGTGACATGTATGTCATGACATGACAGTGTGTCACATGGTTTCAAGTGGTACATGCCCAGGGTATCTCTGTTCCATCCACCTTTATTCCCTCCCCACCCCACCCCCACCCAAGCCTTTATTTCCACTTTCTCCCCAATGCCTTGAATGCTCCCAGGAAAGATTCTTTCAATGACCGTTTTCCTGATGTCTGCTTTAAGTTTATTCCAGCTCAACCTGCCTGTTTTCCCTTGCTTCCAGAACAGGAAAACAGTCACACATAGAATTTTGGCCACAATTCTCAACATCGCAAATGGAGAAGACCCTGAAAAAAAAACAGGGGCTTCTGCCTAGGAAGTTGATTTTTTCTACGGAGGCAAAGATTTCAGTTGCTTGCAAACAGCGTCCTTCCTCCTTCAACGGAAGGGTACCGGTGATCGGCACCGTAGGATGTGCCTATAGCCATGCCTGGCGTGCACAGTTATCTTAGGTTCCCTTCAGCTACTACAGAATAATTTACTTTGTTTTCTTTTCATTGCTGTAACTTAAACCAAAAATATGTTTCCAGTGTCAGCTTGCCGACAATCTCCGGATGAGTTCTTTTAACTAGTTCTCCTTTCTTGCTTGTTTCCAGTACTGTATTTTTCATTGTTTCTTCTTTCACCTGTCTTCCCAGGGAAGGTCAAACTGGAATGAAAAGTCCAGCGTTCTAACTGGTCAGTTCATTGTGCTTTTCTCTCTTTTGTAGGAGATCGCAGTAACCAGTGCCCCTCTGGGTTCACCTTAGACTCAGTCGGACCCTTTTGTGCTGGTAAGTAAAGGAATGAGTAAAATATTTTCATTTTACAATAATGTCAGTGATGATTATCTTTCCTTTACATTAATTCATTTAGTGTGGGACGGGGCATGCCACAGCTCATGACAAAACCAAAGAAAAGAAAACCTCGTAAGAGACAGTTGTCATCCTCCACTATTTGTTCCAGGGAGCAAACTTAGGTCCTCAGGCTCGACAGCAAGCCGTTTACCTGCCGAGACATCTCTCTTGCTCAAGTAATGATTATCTTTTAATGAACTTCTGCTGCCATTAGCCTAGACAGTTAGTGTTCCACTTGACAGCTGAGGAAACGGAGATGTAGAGAAGTTAAACAGCTTACGATTGCCTCTTATCAAATGGCAGACTACATTTGAGGTTAAGGTGACAGAAGCCATGTGCCTTCAATTTGGCCACAGTCTAGTGTATCAGAGACTGTGACCAAGTGCCGAATGGAGTGAACAGAGAAAACAAATCTCCTTCCAGTAGCTCAATGGCTGTGAGCTATCTGCGATCCAAAACAAACTTGTCCGACCACAGAACTGCTCCCTTGTGGGACAGAACAGGACGGTGAATCCATAAGTCACCATGAACCCAGCTCTGTCCCGCCAGGCACCCTTGCAAAAGACTCCCTCACAGCAAGCCACAGCCTAGTTAATGACTGAGGATTTCACATTGGCAGGCACAATGCTGCTCTTCCACTGACCTATATACTGTAGTGGGCTGGCAAGAGGTGGTGTTTAGACTGTATTCAAGTCTCGGCTCTGGCAGTGATGGCCTCGGTGAATGAGAGCATTCCCTTAGTATCCATTCTCCAGATTTGTCATGCCAGAGGAGAATGGTCTTTTAAAAATTCTGGCTTTGGAGAATGAGTTGCTACTGCATTTAGATCGCAGCAAATATAAATGTATTTTAGCTATCCTTTCTGTTTTAGAATAATGTCTAAGCATGCCTTCACTATCAACAATAACTTTCAAGACTTTGAGTTAATTTCTACATAGTAATCCCATTCTGTGTTACTTTGTTATATTTGGTGTTCTTTGTTATATTTGGTCCAATTCCTAGGCATCTAGAAATGAGTGTTTTCATGGACTTTAACAGCTCCTAGGACGCAGGAGTTTTGCACACTGACTTTCTGTTTCTTCTCTCAGATGAAGATGAATGCACAGCAGGGAATCCCTGCTCCCACACCTGCCACAATGCCATAGGAGCCTATTACTGCTCCTGCCCCAAAGGCCTCACTATAGCAGCAGATGGAAGAACCTGTCAAGGTAGTATCAAACTAAATCTGATGACCAAGGCAACCTTACCTAGGAAAAACATAGTAGGGCGGTCTTCTTCCAGTATACTCTGCTCACAGCTTTGCAACAAACAGGAAAGTCATCACAGCAAAAGGGTATTGACCAGACACTGCCCCTTAAGGGTACTCAGAAATTAGTGATGCCTGGGATAGCTCACTGAAGATCTCAGAGAGAACAACTCACTTGTTAAAAGTCATCTAATTTATAAGGACTCCAACCCAGTCACTGGCTTATGAATACATCACATCGTGTGCTGTGGACTCATTATCTTTCTAACGCACTTTAAATGACTTGCCAAAAAAATTGGTCTTTCTTATTCTTTGGTATTTTCAAACATCATATGGGTTCTAACCGCTGCTTCACAGCAATTTTTGTTTTCTTTTTAATTTATTTATTTACTCACTTTACATCCCAATCTTAAGCCACTCCTTCTTCTCTGCCAAGTCTCATCCTCCCTCTCTGCCCCCTTCCCTACTCTTCAGAAAAGGGGAACTCCTTCTGCCAACTCACCCCAGCACATCAAGTCTCATCAGGACTGAGTGAATCCTCTTCCCCTGTGGCCTGGCAGCCCCACCAGGGGGAAGTGATCAAAAAGCTGGCAACAGAGTCCATGTCAGAGACAGCCCCCACTCCAGCTCCCTTTTCTAGGAGACCCACATGAACACTGAGCTGCCCATCAGCTACATCTGTATAGGAGGCCTGGGACCAGTTCATGCATGGTCCTTGGTTGGGTGCTTCAGTCTCCACACATGCCCCACTCTCATCTCTCCACTCTCATTTCTCTCCTCACTCCTCTTCTATCCTGTTACCTCTTTTTAACCACTTCTGCTGTTCATTCTGTTTTTCCTTCTGTGTGAGATTTAAGCAACCTTTCTTGGTTCCTTTTTGTTACTTATCATCTTTGGGTCAGTGAGTTACAATATGTCTATCCTGTACTATACAGCTAAAATTCAGTTATATGTGAGTACATACCACATGTGTCTTTTGGGGTTTGAGTTACCTTACTCAGGATGATCTTTTCTAGTTCATCCATTTGCCTGAAATTTTCAAGATGTCCTTGTTTTTAATTGCTGAGTAGTATTCCATTGTGTAAATGTACCACAGTTCCAAGTTGTTAAGTTGTTTCTTCAACTCACCTCAGTTCATGGCTCCTTCTGCTGTAGATATCGATGAGTGTGCTTTGGGTGGACATACCTGCCACGCTGGTCAGGACTGTGACAACACCATCGGATCCTATCGCTGTGTGGTCCACTGTGGAACAGGCTTCCGAAGAACCTCTGACGGGCTGAGCTGTCAAGGTATAGTGTGTGTGTGTGTGTGTGTGTGTGTGTGTGTGTGTGTGTGTGTGTG